TCCAAAGTAGCTGGGACTACAGACACCTGCCACAATGCCTAGCTATTTTTTGGTTGTAGTTGTCATTGTTGTTTGGCAGGCCTAGGCTGGATTTGAACCCACCAGCTCTGGTATATGTGGCTGGCACCTTAGCTGTTTGAGCTACAGGCACTGAGCCATGTAAAGGTCAGTTTTAATCCCTCCCTGGGCTTTTACTCAATCTCATTCCTGACGTGTGGGCAAATGAGAAGGGAAAGAACAGACAACCAATCTGGCTGCTTCTTCCTATACAAGGGGCATATCTGGAGTTGAACCCAGTATGAAAGGAAAAAAGCTGTTTTGCAGATGTCTGCAAGTGTTCACAGGTGCCAGATTTTAGACGTGAGGTTTACATGAGAACATTTAAAGCCTTAGCACAGTACTTAAGTCAAATAGTGGACTACATGAGAGAAAATAAGCCCTAGGATAAGGAGTGAGAATCCTAGCTTCAAGGGTCCCTGTAAGACCGAGCCAAAGTTCTGGAGAATCCAAGTGAATAATGCTATAAAACAACCAGGTGTAGAGTCACTAGTAGAGAGAGCCCTGTTGTAGCCACACAGCTTGGTGGGAATTTTTTTCTATTCAGGTTTCAACTTCTTCTGAGGTACAGCAGATAGTGTTTAATATTCCACAGACTTTTCCTTGTTTAGCCAATGGGAAATCTAATGCTGTCTGATTATCTAGGACCACATGGGCTAGGGAACTGAGGGATCTTTGTTGATCCCTAAGGATTTCTGCAGTTTCTTCTGTAATCAGTCCTAGAGCCACAAACAGATTTCTTTCTTTCTTTTTTTTTTTTTGAGACAGAGCCTGAAGCATTCGCCCTGGGTAGAATGCCATGGAGTCACAGCTCACAGCAACCTCCAACTCCTGGGCTTGAGCAATTCTCCTGCCTCCGCCTCCCGAGTAGCTGGGACTACAGGTGCCTGCCACAACACCTGGCTATTTTTTGTTGCAGCCGTCATTGTTGTTTGGTGGGCCTGGGCTGGATTCAAACTCGCCAGCTCAGGAGTATGTGGCTGGCACCTTAGCCACTTGAGCCATAGGCGCTGAGCCACACAAACATTTCTAATGTCTGTGTTGCCTTATACTCTGCAGATAGGGACTAGTATTCCCAGCAACCTATGCTATCAGGTGTCCTGGTATCTTCCTAGTGACCCTTTTTTTTTTTTTTTTTTTTTTTACTGACAAATGTTTTATATTTAATTAGCTGTTTCTAAATTATTTTTTTTAATTAAAGGATAGCTGTGTACATTAATGCAATCATGGGGTATGGTGACCCTTAAGAGGTTTATGGAAAACTCTTCTGCAGACTTGCAGCCAGAAAAGAACTGAAGATATGGTCCAAATTGTAGGCAAATATCAAAAACTCAAAAACAGCGGGCCAAGCCAGAATGTAATAACAGGTGGACCACAGTTGCTTTTTTTGAACCATATTTATTCTCTCTCTAGTCCCATTTTTTATTAAAGATAAATCATAATGGTATCAATCTGCTTGCCAAATTTTTAATATTGCTGTCTTTTAAAATATTTGTTACATCTGTAACAATGTCAACCAAGTGTTCTTATGTAGAGATGTTAGTGCCAACGTGAAAAAGAACACCCTCAGATTGGTAATCTTACAAGTTGTTTGTGATAAGCAAACATTACATCGAGTGGTGTCTGTGGCTTAGTAGGTAGGGCGCCGGCCCCATCTACTGAGAATGGTGGGTTCAAACCCAGCCCTGGCCAAACTGCAACAAAAAGTAGCCAGGCGTTGTGGCAGGTGCCTGTAGTCCCAGCTACTCAGGAGGCTGAGGCAAGAGAATTGCCTAAGCCCAGGGGTTGGAGGTTGCTGTGAGCTGT